AAAGACCTACAGTGATTTATTTTACAAATTAGCTCATATCTTTGGGATCCTAAATCAAAATTACTGTGAGTAAGGCAGTTTAATTTTCCTGAGCATGTTTATGTGATTGCATAATTTACAAAGAATTGCAAAAAGTAAACAGAAAGAGAGAGAGAGATGTGAGTTGCAGCTGACTCTGAGGGAGAGAAGTGTTATGGAACTTGGTGTTGTGGTCTGTGAGGACCACAGGAGAAAGGCAGCCAGGTTTAGGTGAAGGAGGCAGTCTAGAGGAAAGCTTCTTTCACCAACATGCAAGTCTTGTTAGAAAGCTGGCACTGGGGGGAATGTAAGAAATGATCTGAAGATGGGAAATGTGTTCTGCAATCAGCAGTGTAAGAGGATCCAATAAAGGTTTGTGAAGCTGAATACATTATGTAATCATTTCTGGGCTGCTGCACAAATTACTTGCTGTGCCTGGGCAGATTGAATTTTAAGGAGCTGGGATCTGGAGTCAGAATAAATAGGGGGCTGTATGTTACTTGGGAAGAGAAGACAGAAACAAGGCCATTCAGGCGGATGGTTAGCATAGTTTATTTCAGATGCAGGTATTTCTGTGCATAATTTTAGACTTCAGGGAGATGAAAAAAAGTTCAGAAATTGGGTGGGAAAGCGGAGAAAAAGAATGTAAGAATTATACTCAGTTCTGTTTTAATGAAAAATATAGCTATGAGTGTTGGAAAACCAAAGAGATTTTATTTGCTAGAGATAGTCCATTAAGAAAGCTCAGGGATTTCCATTGTTGGACACAAATGAAGAATTAGTCAGGTAGGAACCAGGCAGTGCAATCTTCTGGCTATGGCTTCACCAAACAGTGTTTGGTAGTCAAGAAGTAGATCATTAATGTTAAAATTCTAGAAGAGAAGGAATAGAGGCGACAGCATGTGGTAGTCACCCATGCTGTGGGCATGCCCAAAAGTGGGCAGCTTAATGCAGTTTGCTTAGTGCAAACTTACTCTCTGAGGGGTACTTCCAAAGCAGTTCTGAGGGAAATGTGTGCAGTGAGAAAATACAGACGAAATGAAAAAAAAACCCAAAAAACCAAACAGCATTACAGACCCATAATGAGTTTGTTGAATGTGTTTTTCATTTGTTGTATTTATACAACAATTATAAAACAATCATTCAGAATGATTGAGTCATGCTTGGATACCACCAACAGCAATCAGTGGCTCAGAAGATGGGTGGCTTTTGGCTTTTGCACAAGCATAATGCATGCTTAACAGCATGTGCATTTCACCAGAAATTCTTTCTTCCACTCTCCCACACTTGAAAAAAAGAAAAAAACAAACAACCAGTCATAAACCCAAACCACCCATTCGCATTTCAATTCCTTGTGTTATTTTTACAGGAAGTTTAATTTGTCCTGAAGTTTAAGTGAAACTTAAAATGTGGTATTTGTCACCTTATTTTGGAGGAAAAAGGTAGTTCTTGCCAACCGTGAAAATAAATACTCACATTTGTGGCCAAATAAAAGGATCTAGGATGATACCTCCTTGAAGTTAATGGGAACTGAGAGCAAATCTTCACATCTGACCCCCAAAAAAAGCATTTAAAATTATCCAACTGAAATGAATAATCATGAGACCAGAGGCTTTTTTACTGATTATATCTTGAATGAATTGGTCAAGAAAATGAAAAATGAAAGTTTAGTTAGTAGTTAGTTTATGGCCCAGATAAAAAAGCAAGACTTGACTGAAGATGAAAATTCCTGTGCTTAGGATTTTTTTCTATGTCAGTCCACATTCCTACCCAATGGGCGTGCAGCTTAACAGCTTTCAGAGTAATCCTTGGAGATGTGGTAGGTCTGTTTTGGTACTGATTCAACAGTAAATTAGCAGTTTCATTTTGAGTGGCACCTGTCTATGCAAGTATAATTTTAACTTTTGTTTACAACAATTACTATTATAAAGAGTAGGAAGTTTTTACTGATTTTTGGCAGCCCTTTTCGGACTCTTCTGAATTTCACTGTCCTATGTTTGTAAGCAAGTGACTTTCTCAGCCTGGTGTAACTCTTCTGTCTACATTTCCTTCTTCCCTAGTAGGGAAGCAAGTGTTACATAAGAGGCTGAAATGGGTTATTTCAGTCATTGTAAATGTGGGTCACTCAGAAGGAAATGATGGCTTATTGGTTGTGGAGGTATTTTTAAATTTTCAAGAGGCAAAAGGTAGTAATTGGGAGACTTTTTTTTCTCCATTGCTTGACTCTACTTGTTTTCAAAAAAATGCAGAAACTCCATTTGTCTGTGTGTGAAGGGAGTAACTGAAGTATTCTATTCTCTTGTATCTGGAGCTTTGCAAGAAAACAAGTAGAGTGGAGAACTTAAACACCCAGTCACATCAGCACATGTAGTGTATGCTCAGGCTCATGCCAAACAGCTGAAATAGTTGTCTGCTATTAAAAGAAATGCAGAAAGTCTGGCTTAAGCTTATTTTTGTACCTGCATCTGATTGTTGCCAGTGTTCAGATAGAGCTCATTGGGAGTCAGTGAGTGGATTTACTGCCTTGTATGGGCAGCTTCTCCTTTGATGGGTTTTCACACTGGAGATGGCAGAACTGGAGCTGACCCACCCCTCCAGGCCTGGTCACTCTGGTAGGGGTCAGTGGAGACCCCAGCCAGGCATGAAGACTTGGCTGAACCATCTGATACTTTAGTCCTGAGCACCCTGCAAAGCCCAATAAAGTTGATAGGAAGATACACAAGTTTTATCCTGCGGGTTGATTGAGTCATCATAGTAGGAAATGCCATCAGATTTATCTCTGGTGTTGGCTGAGCTACAGATGTTATTAAGCCTACATCAAGGTGTTTTTCTAGTATATAGAAATTCTTCAGTTGTAATTTTGTATTGAATTTCAGATATATATAAGATTGATACAAGATTGTATAGGATTTATAATGCCGAAGTAGCCTAAGTTCAAAGAATGTACTCCAATAAACAAGTTTTCTTCAAAAACAGGGTTTGGCAGCAAACAAAGGTTTCCAAATACCCATTTAATGTGAAAAACCCCCAGCATTTTATGATGACTTCGACTTTATAGATAGTGGTTTTCTAGGCATTAGGAAGCTTTCCTTGGGCTAATAGAGATTTTTGTCTTCAAGTGTGAGATTTTTTTTCACTGAACTCCTGCTAATGTACAATCTGTGCAATTGAGGGAGGGACCAAGGCTTTAAAAAACTCAGCTAAACTAAAGTTGCCACAGGTTCAGCTACCGAACTGTTACGCTTTACACCAAATTGATCCCGTGGTACTTCTTGTTTCTTAAAAAGAACTGATTTAAATAAGTGTGTCCCACTTCACCATGTGGATCTTCTCCAAAGTGCAGTTGAAAATTGAAACAAGTTTTCACAAACGTATTTATAGTTATGTCTTTTTCTTTAATGTATTTTAGATCACAACTTTTGTTTTTCACTGGTTGCTTTGAAGTAATTAAGTTGGTCTTCATAGTTCTCAGTTTGCCACCATCACCTCTGATTAGACCTGGGTCTGTGATGCCAGGAAGATAAGAATCTCAGCATCTAAATTAATTCTTAACAAAGAAGATAGTTTTCTCCTGTTAAGGCCATAGTGATTAAAAAAGCAGTGTTTCCAAGTACAATGTTTTTGAAGTGTCTCATGATGGATCGGTTGCTCTTTAGTCAGACCTGTCAATTTCCCAAGGACATACCTCCTGAAACATACCCTTTTTGTAGTCTAAGAAGCTCCTTTCCCTTACACTTCCATTGAGAGTTATTTCTAAATATGAATCTCATTTTTCATTTCTTTGTTTCCAGACAGTGTTTGCTGGGGGGGAGGGGGGGAGGAATCTTTCATTTGAGATACTTCCTAACAATTGTTTGCAAAGAGACTTTACCATCATACTAGGAAGATCCATCAAGATCAGAGCTGTAGATTTAAAATAAGGTTTTATGGTCTCAGGATCTATCACTGATTATTTGTATACACTATGCTTAACAAAAAACATGCCTGACAATAAAGGGAGTCCTAAAACAATCCTAAATAAAGGCAGTCCTAAAACTGGAGCAAACTCCTTCTATGCTAACAGTTACTTCTCTGGATATATTTGTGGGAATTGCCAATTCTGGATACCTTGAATCTTATGGAGAAGATTTTCAGAACATCAAAGATGTATTCGGATAGTTCTTCCATAACCAAAACTAATATCTTGTTTCTTTTTAAATTTTGTTTAATTCAACCCTGTTGAACAGCTTGGCTACAAGGCAAATTACATTCTTGAGTGTGTTCTGGCAGATTTCTGTTAAGTCATGACCTTGATACATCTAGTTTTACGACACAGCCCCTTGTTGTCAGATTAATATTGCAGCTGGATCAAGTTAGTTACTTGAAAATACCAAATCATAGTGTTACTTTACAAAATGAACTTCAGCTAGGGAATATAGATAAATCCTGGTTACAGAGTATTCAAGTTATGCTACCATCTGACTTCTGTCTATTTTGTGTCTATCTTGCTTTAGCAGAGAGCTCAGCAGGATTGTGTATCTGCATTTGGTTATATAATGATAAACAATATCTTAGAACATAGTAAATACTGCATTTTCCAGTGGGTTTAAAAAGTAGGTTTAATACTAGAAAAGCATTTCTAATGAAAAATACTTAGAAATGCTGTTTAAAATTTTCATCTGTCAAATGTTTTTAGTTACGCGGGAGAATATTCCTGTTGGCTAATCCTAAGTCAGCAAAAATATATTTGTGCATGAATGCATATATTTCTCAAGAGCAATGCTTTCGTTACTTGTTATTGAAGCTTTCAAAGTTTTTAAATGAATTTTATTTGTGTCATATTGAAAGAGATACCAAAACATTGCTTTCTATTATTTCTTAAAGTTCTGTATTTATTTTCTGAATATAACATAGACAGTGCTACTATTTGTTGCTGTTCATTTCAAAGTAAAGCACTGTCAGCTGTGACTGGAGTGCAAAAATGAGTATTCTTCTATTTGCAGCTATATGCCAGCCAGGGTGCAAACATGGTGAATGCATTGGGCCAAACAAGTGTAAGTGCCACCCAGGATACACTGGAAAAACTTGCAACCAAGGTAAGAAAGAATTTATTTTTGAAATCGTGGAAGTATTGTTCTCTCTCCCCACCCTCACCAATGCTGTGTGTTTCCCCTGTGTTTGTAGAGTAAAGAAATCATATACCAGGTCTTACTGCTACAGCAGGTCTGATATTTGAACTGACATTTGTAGAGAGATTGACATTACAGTGGGATGACACAAGGGAAAAATTGCTTTCATTCAGAAGAAATCAATGAGATTCATATGTAGGATTTAGTTACCTGCTCTCCTTAATTGGAAACAAACTATTTAAACCTTATGATCAGGATTGTTCTTTTTTATAAAGTCACAATTTTCGGGTTTGAATAGTGAAATAATACTCGTTTAATTAGAAGCCCCATAATTCACACATTCTCATTTTAGTTTTCTAATCCTGAACTAACTAGGTTGCATTAAACTATGAAAGGGTTGGTATAAAGATGAAGTTTCTCTTACTGAATTATCAAGTTTCGTTGTTTGATTTTTTTCTCAAAAGTTATGTCCAAAACATGTAATGGGATAAAGATCATAGAGTATAAACAATTAGAGAATTGAAATATGTGATTTTTAGATTTTGATAGCTAAGACATGTTCACATACGAAGATATCTCAATTATATCTCTTTTGCAGTTGTCTCAGCCTACAGGAAAATTCATGCATTTTCTGAGTGCTGAGGAAGTATGGTAGAAAAGTGTTATATTTAAAATTATTTTCTTCTTCAAGGATGTGCCCTGATGTTGCTAAATTTCCTACGACATGTTGATTTTTAGACTGAGTTATTTTCTGTAAAAATAGATACATATTTATTTTCAGATTTACTAATCCTTCCCAAACTGGTGTGGAAATGTGTGTTGTATTTCTCAGTTTTGTCAAAAGTTTCTGTCACCTGTTATATTATCCTGTCTTTTTTCCCCCCTTGCTCTGGGCTGATTTTTTAAAGGATGTGTTGTTATGATTTTATTCTACACTTTTTAGTCAGTCCACAACATTTTTAGAAAATGGTGCAGTGAACTAACATTTATATGTATTTGTAGCAGTTTTTCTATGTAGTGAATAGTTTAACAATATCTAAAGAATGCTTTGCAAATTGCTGGAGGCTTTGGTCTTGAACGAAACTATTTACTTGCCACTAAATGCTAAGGAAAGAAAAAAGTTGATAGGTTATCAAAGGAAGCACTTTGGGTAGTATTGATGAAATATTCTTGCATGATGTTGGTGATAAAGCTGCCCTGGCAGATGTAGATGAGGTTTCTGACATGCCAGCTGACTGTGGTGCCCCAAATGTGTACCAGTTCAGGTGGCTGCTGCTGCTCTACTACATGGTGAGACCCTTGAGCTGTTCCTGGGGTCATGATTTGTGTTTTGTTGTGTGCTGATTCAGTGTTTGGATGAGACTTGAAAGTGCACAGTGAATGCAGAGTCTGCTTTTGCTGGGAGGAGATTCAAATGGCACAGGATAAATGTGACCTATGTTATTATTCCTTAATACAGCACCTGCCCTGTTCAGTCTGTGGGCCATTTTCTCAGTCCTGTTCTAGAATAGTAACAGAAGTAATAATGTTGGCAGAGGAAATGTTGGAGTTCCCTGCAGAGATGGAAATCTTTCTAGGATGCATGAATGGTTCTGTGCTGTAAAGTATGGTCATGTTCTTGGTGAAAGGCGTTCTTTGAGTACAAGCTCTGATCAACAGGCTTTACATGTCATCTGTTCATGTGCCCCATGGATCAGGCTGTATTCCTGGGACTGATCCAAGAGCTCAACCCAGCCTCACAGAAGAACTGTTTAGTCCTGACTGTGTGATGATGCTGCATGCTTGTCCTTTTCCAGTGGTCCTGCAGCTGCTGTGACAATCCATACCTTGCTTTAGATCGCTCAGAAGTTAAGACTACCTGATACTTTTTAAATTATGTTGCAAACATCAGCAATCAAATTGCGGTGACTGCACAAGAGCTAACCATGTGTTCTCCCTACAGCATTCCTATCTCCTGTATGGCTTTAGTGTTTCCCTTCCGGCTTTTTGATCCCAGCTTTACAGCTGTATGCAGTGAAGAAACAAACAGAGCAACTTGAGAGAAAATACCCTCTGCCACCTCTCTTAATTTATAGTGATAATAACAGAGCCCATACTTTCAGAATGTGTTCATCAGAAAATTGATAGCTGATCTTGAAGAAAATACAAATAATATTCTGTAAAACAAATACAAATAGTTGAAATTTTTGCTAGCAATCTAAAGCACATACAGGTTAGCTTTCTTTGGCTGGGAAAGGCTGTCTTTATCAAAAAAAACTAAGGCTACTTTTCTGTAACTTCCTGTTCTCTTACCCTGTTTGTTCTAGGAAAACGATGCAAAGTTCACTGTTTGAAATTCTTGTCAGCACTTGATATATATGAATATTTAGTAATTTATAAATGAAGTAATGAATATTGCCATATTTTTATTATGGATTCTCCCTATCCTGTGAAGATGTGCACATGTACACACATCCATTTGATCAGGGCAGTGAAGCTCTTGTTCCACCCCTTGGATCATCATGAAAGGAATGTAGCAGCAAGGGGTGAGGTGGTCCTGTTCTTCAAGTGTTCTGCTCCTCTCTGCACAGCTTCAAACAGGAGTGCAATTTCTTGCAAAGGGGGTAGAGCTGATAGACCCATCAATGGCTGGGATGTGAAAGTTGAATCTGCAGTGCCCTTAGCATATATGCCCTTACCAGAGTAAATAATTGGTTATATTTCCTTGGTGCTGCTGTGTGTATTCTGAAAAGTTTTGACTCTCTACCATACTCATGGTTGTTGCTTGCATTTGTTTCTTTCCTCTGCTATTCTTTCAGAGCCTGTCTTTTTTTTCCTTTCTGAGTTCGTTTGTAAAGTGACAGTGATGGAAATTGTTTATCAGGTTAGATAAAGACAAAATTGTGATTTAGATAAAGTTAGAAGTTGTAGAAAATGAGGGTTGAAAAACTTTGGAATTTGGCAGCTGTTGATTAATCAGACTAAGTGAACAAAACTCTTCAGGTGATACAAATCTCTTATGAGGTTGACATGGTAGTGTGATTGCAATTGCTGGAAATGAAAGCTGATTTACTGTTTATAGTATGGTGATAGCAGTTTAATTTTTCTAGTTGATTTCTGGTCCTTGGCTTTCTATTTTCAGAGTTAGGTAAATGTGGTATTGAATATTTCAGTGTTGCTTGATCCAAGTTAGGTGATAGGCAAAAGAAGGCAGAAAAAGTCTTGAGTGCAGAAGTCTGCAGAGGCTAATTAAAAGAAAATAGTGGAGTGTATTGAATCTGTCTAGAAATGAGTGGCCCATTGTTGGGTGTGCACTGAAGTCAGTCCAAGATCACATATGGTGCAGCGCAGCAGTCAAAGGAGTCACATCCAAGTTTGCCAGCATAACGCTCTGATCCTTTCCTTGCACTCACATGTTGTTCCATGTCTTTAGATATAAAATACTTGTGCTCAGCAGCTTGTGTTTGTTATAAACCTGTTTTTCATAGTGGCCAAAACAGTCAGTCTGCTTTTATGTACTGTACTGCCTTGTGTTACTTTGAAATCAAGAATGCTGTTTTTGCATTGGCTGTGCAATTGTAGGCAGTGTAGGAAATAAAAAGGCTGAACGATGAAGTTCTTAAATGCAGGACAGTGAGTGGACATTCCCACAATGAAATCAAAGGGATTTATTAAACTTTTTAATAGTATTGCACTTTATACTATTCTCATATTATGTTGCTAATAGCTATCTATTTGTCAGTATCAGAGCATTTATTTCTGTACTAAGAATACTTTGTATCAAGTGGTAGTGTAGAATTCAGAGTCCTATGGAAGGATCCAATATTTTAAGACTCATAATGTAATCTATACTTTGCAGGATGATGGACTCAGTACAGTCGTAAATTCTTATTTTCAACTTTGAGTCTGTGGTCATAACTCTGGAAGTAAGTGCACAGGAGTTCTTAAGTGGTCAGGAGTATCTAAACTTAGGAGCTGAAGTGCAGTGGAATTTAAACACTAGAACTTAACACAAAGCACTGTTAAAATCCTGCCCTGTCAACTTAATTTCAGTGTTACTTTTCCGTATTCTGTCCCTACTTCTAGTTAAATATTTTACTTTGCTCTGTTGTGCCTTTATTTTGTAAAGTGATGCTTTTTGTAGAAAAGAGGAAGAATACAGATATTTCTGACTAAGAGAACTTCTTTTTCCTCTTACTTCAAAATTATGGTTGTCAGTGAACCTCATTATATTTAATAATGTGGGGTTCTTTGGGGATACGTTTATGAATTTAATTCAAATGCTAACAGAGTTTTTGAATGTAACAATGACTTTTTTAACAGACACATTGCATGTGTAAAAAATATGTTAATACAGTTATAATGTCTGTCAGGAACTGCCTACTTGTGGTATGTTTTACAGAAAAAAGAAAAAGATACTTTTTTTTATTTTGAGATGCCTTTCAAAATGTGAGCTTTCATCTGATTATTATTGGAGATTTTTATGTAAAACTTTTTTCACACAAAGGTTTTTAGAATGAAAACTTGTCCTCGCCCTCTAGCATAATCATCTGCTGCACTTCCATTTGGCCTAGGCATATACCTATAGTCACAACTCCTAGCAGAAGATCCAGCTTTCACAGGACAAAACACACTTTCTTCTACGGCTGTCTCTCAAATACAGCAAGTACTTTCTTGTGAGTGTGGCACTGGTGCCTGCTGTGAGAAGTATATTCTCCTTGCAAAGCTGAAACATTTTCCAATTCCCAAAGAGTGAGAGCTGAAAAGGGGTGCTGCCTCTGCAGCACATGATCCTCAGGAAGACTGCAGAGGTGGTCATCACTCCTTCTTTATCATGCATAGATCCAGCCCTTGTTTTGCAATCTTTCCTCATCAAAGTCCTGCTTAGGCTCACCTCATCTTTCTCACCGGTTGAAGAGAAAATATTTCCCTTCAGGTTTGCTGGAAACATCTTGTTCAGCCTTACACAGGAAGAAATGGAAAGTTACATCCATTACCACTACCCTCTTGCAGAAGAGGGGAGCAGGAAGTATTTTTGTACATAAACATGCTGTTCTTCCCAAGACCTTGGAAAAATGAAGTAAAGGGGAAGGGTTCTGGGGAGGGCCATGTCTGCATGATGATCGCTATTCTTTGACCCCATGAAGATGGAAACAAAGTAGGTCAGAAGACAGCAAGTTTTATGATGCACATAAACACTGCTAGGAGCTCTCAGGAACAGCAGTGATATAACAGCCAACATCCTTGAAGCCGAGTTTGGATTTTGTCAGTGACTTGTAGTGTGATACGTGTGTTTTTCTCTTGATGGCTCTGAATTTTACCAGTCAAATTGAAATGGAATATATTTCTCAGTTTAAGAATGCCATTTAAAAATATTTTGTCTGAAAAGAGTAAGGTGCAGAATGTTACTCTCAAAAACGAAGAGATTACAGTTTCAGGACAAATTTAAAATCCAAACATTAACAACTTGTAAAAGTCCCGGAGTAGTTGTCTAGAATCAATGTTTTCTCTAACTTCACCTCTACAGTGAATGTAACTTTTCTCACTCCATTTACTACATAGACCCAATTAAGTTTTCTGCTTTACTTTTGAAAAGCAATCAAATAACTACTGACTTCATTGTAACAGAGGTGTATTTATCTTTCTGGTTCAGCATCTTAACCCTGAGCCTTTGCCTCTAGTCCACAGGAGGCATCTGTCACCTCTTCAGCTGGCATTTTATGAAGTGGTTACTGTATGTGTGTATCTATGATGTGATAGGCGCCTCAGGGCTTACTTTTCTGCTACATGGATTGAGTGACACTTGGTAAGATGGCGCTTAGTACTGAGAGAAGGCTCTTTGAAAACTTCTGGAAAAAATGGCAATTCTTTGTCTTCAAAAGACCTCCAGACAGCATGGTGCAATATTAGAGATGACAGTTGATAACTCAATTTTTTAAGTTCTCGCTGGCTGGATTTGTGAATAGATTTATAATTTTCATCTTTTTTGTCAACTTTGTTCATTACTATACAAATAACTAACAAAAATAATAAGTAACAAATTATTCTGGCTTACTCAGACAAAATCAACACATATTCTTTGAAGAGAATTCTGAAGGAAATCATCTTCTTCTTTGAAGTTCTGTCTACTAATATGGGAATTGTAGGCTGAATATTTTCAGTTCAAGCCATGAATTCTCTACTAAATGATAAATCTTAAATGTTAGCCCTCATGGATAGTCTTTATATTTTCTCTGTGAGATTGTTTAAACTAAGTTGGCATCAGCTTTCCTACCTTCCTCTGCCACTAATTTTGAAGCATGATAGTGAATCACTGAATTGCTGTCAGAATCACTGATAGTGATTGCAGAGTGATGTTTGCTTTCTCTCTCCTCCTCCTTCTTCCAAGTGCTGCCTGGTCCTGGACATGGCATCAGTATGAATAGTGGCAAAATGTGGGCAGCCTGAGCTTGTGTGTTGTCTAATGAAACAGTTGGCACTTCATCTAATGCTAATATTGTCATTTCTTAAAGATACCTCTGAAACCAAGCCAAATAAGCTGCTTGCCTGGAGGGATGAAGAGCGCTTCATGCAGGGTGTTTTGGACGCTTGCTATCAGCTGAGCTGTGTATAAAAATCTAATTGCCATAATTTTTCCTTCCTTCTCCAGCAGCTTGAGCTGTTTTGCCACGCACGCCTTGTGTGTTTTCTTTTCCCACCCTGTTCCCTTGTGCCCTTCATTTCAGATCTGAATGAGTGTGGGCTGAAGCCGCGGCCGTGCAAGCACCGGTGTATGAATACCTTCGGCAGCTACAAGTGCTACTGTCTGAATGGCTACATGCTTATGCCAGATGGAACGTGCTCAAGTACGGCCAGCCTTGGTGCTTGCTCTTTTCCAGTTTCTCAAAATCCCTGCTTGAGTTGCCCCAGAAAACTTCTATGAAATGAAGATGAGTCCCGAAGTGAAAGATTAATCTTGCTGGAAATGAGGCAGCTGGCAAGATGAGCTCTTTTTGTTTCTAGTTGCATTAGGCTGAAAAAAACAAAAGCAATGGTTTTGATTTTATTAGTTTTATTGAACGTTTCCCCAAAGCATTTTTCAGTGCTGTAAATCACTGTTAATTGGCCTCTGAGGACAAGTGCTTGCAGTTTTCATTGCAGCAAGACACCTGCATTTCTGCTGCCTTATGGCCTTATGAACATAAAATCTTCAATGCTGCAGATGCTGGTTGTTTGACTGGTATAAAAATTGTACTGCCGCCTCTCTGGAGATCAGGTTCCTACTTGCTCCCATAAAAACAGTTACTTTGAATATCTGAACAGAGGGAAGGGAAGAGAAATTACCTTCAATTAGAGATACCCCATTTTTAAAATGGCAGTACTGTCCAGGAGAGTCTGGCAGTTCAACATTATATTCTGGGGACTGCATTCAGTAATACTACTTACTACAATTGTGGTTTTTTTTTTT